TTTCATGAGTCAACTCAAATCTATCTCACTAATCTGTGGCTAAATGCAACAATTTTTGTTGCGTGGCGCCACGCAACAAAATTTGTTGCATTTAGCCACACTCATTTTGAATGTTTCATTTAGCCACACAGCACCTATAACTTGTGGCTAAACGCAACAATTTTTGTTGCGTGGCGCCACGAGCCGTGGCTAAATGAAATGTAATCTCCGGTATAATAAATTCCTCAAAAGGAACTCAATTTGGCACTAATGTGTTATTTTTCAGCTTCCAAGTGGGAATAGCCCCCTTCTTGACGTTTTTGTTTACATTCATGGCGGCGCCTTTCAGTCCGGAGCTGGGTTTTTGTACACGCCACGATACCTCCTCGATCAAGATGTCGTCTTTGTCACGCTGAACTATCGACTGGGACCACTTGGTGAGCTAAAACAAAATTGAATATCAATGTATGAACCTATTGCTAGGTATTGTCTAATGGAAGTTCGCCTTCAATTTTGCCGCGTAGGCAACAAACCTACTGGGAAGCGCGAATAGTTATCCATCCGAAAAACACACACTAATTTCACTCTGACGGGGGCCTCACTTATGGGCTGTGCCATTATACGTTAAATTTTTTGGATGTTTAGAATTGTATATGGATCTTGACAAGATTACTGTGTAGGTATAGGTCACCGTGGTCATTTTTTGATTTCATAACAGATAGGGGTCACTCTATCCTGCCTCTACTCGACGTATCTCTCGTTTCATTATTGGTTTACACTTTCAGAATTAACTTTATTTCCATTCCTTTATTTCCTCAGGGTTCTTGACAACGGAGGATGAGGTCGTTCCTGGAAATAATGGACTTAAAGATCAGGTTTGAAAATTTTTAAATTATGCTCATATGCCGCAATGACTGGCGTTGTTTCTTAGATAAAGTATTATATATTTTGCCCTCCAACGCTAAATTTGCTGACGTCGCGAAAATGTTTTATTAAGAAAAAAAAATTCCGTGCAATTGAAAAAAAAAATACAAAAACATTTGAAAAAATTACTTACTCTATAAACGGAGAATCAATTCCGGTTCTCCAAAATCAGGATTCTAGTATATTCATGTAAAGCCTTAAACTTGTTTTCGCGATGTCCTGCGCACTGAAGAAGAAATGAAAAAGCTAGTCAAGGGAAGTATTCGAAATGCATTTTAATCTCAAAACTTATACTCTATTAATGGATAAACAAGGCCCGGAAAGAGTATAGCTTTGCAGCAGAAAAATTTTCAGTGTTTGCAGTAAAACGATTTCTCAATTTCCACTGTTGCATTAATTGCTAGGTGATGGCTTTAAAATGGATCCAGCAAAATATCGCAGCTTTCAATGGGAATCCAGCCAGCGTCACGATTTCTGGGATGTCTGCCGGAGGTGCCAGCGTGCAGTATCATTATCTGTCACCCATGTCTCAAGGTGAAAATAATTTTGTGGATGTGATATTGAGAATATTCTTAAAACTGTAAATATCTGACAAAAATTATCAACTATTAATAGTATAGTATTAATAGTAGTAGGATTAATAGTATCAACTATAATTAGTAACCACTATTGAATTGATTTTGACAAAGGAGCACAACTGCTACGGGCAGTCTAGCTATTAGAACATCTCCATTTTTCTACTAGTAAAGTTTAATGAAACTGGGAAAATTTCCTCGATAGTTTATTCGTACAAAATTGCATAACATGCTCTAAAACACTTACGTTTTTATTCAATTAATTAAATTCGGAGAAGTCGAGAAGTATCTAGTGGCAGGATTCCTTTCCATTTATTCATTTTGAGTGATGGAAACCACATTTCGTCGTTCGACTAACATGAGGGCATAACTGCACTATAGCCCAGGAAAGCGTTGAGTTACACGGACGATAGGGTTCGTCGCAAAAGTTAGTTGCATCTTTATGTCTTGAGGGCGACGATTTTACCGAATAGTATAAGGTTCGTGTCAATATAAAAACCTTGTATATATATTATTAATTATCGATAGACGGCGTTCATGACATTACTTCAATGCGACTATGTTCATCCAGGTTTGTTCCATCGAGGGATCTCAATGAGCGGATCATCTTTGACACCGTTCGCCCTGGTGGAAAATGGTCGCGAGAAAGCGGACCGACTTGCCGCAACCCTCGGGTGCCCTACATTCTCGTCTAGAGATTTGGTCGACTGCTTGCGATACCGCCCTGCTCTCCAAATAGTTAAACTTCTCGCAACGCCCTTGTTCATGGTAATGCTGAAAATTCTAATATCACTATATAACCAAGTATCTTACTTTGCAACTTTGTAAATTTACTAGCTTATTTTACTTGTTCGGAGGAAGTCTGATCATCGTTGTTGCACAAACTCTCGTGCTGATTTTTCTTTTTCTCAAGGGGGTGGGGGGAGCGCTTGTGTGAGAACACCTAACGTATTGCAGCATTATGTGACTTCTGTGGGGATTTTTGCAACAATATTATCCATTGATCGATCGACTATCAAATCGTCATCAAACTTGCCATGAATTCATATTAAATGAAAAAAAAAACAAAATTTCACAATTTGAGAAATGAAGTCTATTTCACACAAGACCAGTCAGTTTCATCATCAAGTCAATTTTCATTCAGTCATGTTTTCAATTAGTCTAAATCGTTTTTATAATTAACCTGCATAAAACCCATGCGCTTTTTTGCTTTCAGCCGTATCACTATAACCCATATTCTCCCTTCGGCCCAACTGTAGAGATGGCAGGAACCGAACCATTCCTTTCGCAAAGTCCTTTCGAGCTCCTGAAATCAGGTCAAGTGAAGGACATTCCATGGTTAGCCAGTGTTACGTCAGAGGAAGGGTTGTATCCTACATCAAGTAAGCATTCTGTATTGTAATTGTTGTTGTTTGTCTGTATTGAATTTTGTAATTGTTCTGTAGATTTTTAACTGTGAGGGTGCTTCAGGGTCGAAAATTCAAAATTAAGATGTAGGCACAATGTAAAAGTTACTTCCGATAGTCAACGCTCAGATTCGCATGAGGATGACTGATGATCGAAGAACGAAACGATTGATTCAGCAGGTTATTTAGACATCATTTGCGAAAGCTGCTCTAACAATGTGCTTACCGTGAAATTCATGAGTCATCAATACGAGAATTTTATTTGTTTTGTTCTTAAAGAGTTCCTCATCAATCATCATTCGGCAAAAAACAGCCTGACATAACTTTTGCCTCAGCCAATTACATGTCTCGGATTATTTATTCAGGGTCTCTCTGATGACAATGTTTGAATGCAACTATTCATACTCGAGGGATATCGGTGTTGCATATGCGAAAAATTGAAGGCGCTTCAGCCGCGCTCTCCTCGCAATAAGACGCGTATATCAAAACTCGATCTATCATTGGACAATTTAAGCAAAGAATTCTCCATTTTCCTACGTTCTTTAGGGCAGCAAAACTCGAAATCGAGGCATTGGTACCAGCGTTTTTTACGCAATATGACTTGAAAAGGTTAAAATATAAGTTGTAAGAGACATTGTATGATATAACCACAAAAATTATTATGAAACTCAAAAATGTAAGTCCTTTTGTATATGTACGTAACAAAACCAAAGAAAACTTCGGGAAATAAACGAATATGTCCGACAATTTTAATGGAATCCACGCATTTTTTTTAGTCATTGCTTAAAGTTTTGAGTTTCATAGGAAATAATAACACTTTTTTATTCCTCGATATTTGTTCCTTATAATAACGTTTGTTTATTTCCCAGATTTCGTGGCAAATGCTACGATATTGTCTGAGATCGAAGAGAGATGGGATGAGTTGGCTCCACATTTACTAGATTACAATTATACCATCCCGCAGGAGAAAAAGATAGAAATTGGAAGAGCAATCAAGGACTTTTACCTCCAAGGAAAACCCGTCTCTCCTGACACGACCAGTGAGCTAACCCAGGCAAGTATTGCGCATCCTTATTCCTGTGGCCCGCAATTTCCTGCAAACAGTCACGAACAAGTTTAAGTTATAAAATAATTTAGCACAAGTCTCAAAAAATTTCAAGTTATACTGCCAAGTTGATTCGTATTCCTTACAAAGTATACATACAGTGGCTGAAAACTTTTGAAACGTTCCGATCCAAACACGTGGGTTTGGAGTTGAGCTAATTTTATTCTTTTTTCTTTTGTATAGATGTTCGGAGATAGACTATACGTGGTACACGTTGAGCGCGCAGCTCGACTACAAGCGAAATCTAATACAGCTCCTGTGTATTTTTACCGTTTTACATACCGTGGAAAGCACAGTTACTCAGAGATGATGAGCTGGGGCTCCACAGAGAATTTCGGTGCGTAATAAACGGCATTCATATTTTTAAATAAGAAAATAGAAATCGAAAAATGTTGAAATGAAATTGAAGTGAAATGAACAAATAAGTTTAAGTAATGGGAATTTAAAATATGGTATTGAATACCCAATAACGTTATGGTGAGTTTTTACTGACGGGAATGTATTTTCTTCAAACGCAATGTTGTTTTTAACAAGGAAAAACATTCGGAACTCGGATAAAGTTCGGAAATGACGAACCGAGAACTTATGTTTTGCTTAGTGCCATTTTTTGTGGGAGGTACAAGTGGAACTCAAAATCAAAACATGCATATTCCATAATTATCACATGACGCAATCGCAAGTGCATGATTCTCATTCTGTAAACCACGAAAAAATGTGTAAGTATGTGTTTCTTCAGAAGATAAACATTATTTGACAACCTTTAAATAGTCTAAAATTCAAATTAAATTCTCACTCACATTTCCAAAGTATAACAGTCGAAAATAAGATAAAATATTGAACTTCTATCAAAGGGGAGCATGATAGTCCTTTAAATTCACCCAGGCATATTGGACAAATTGCTTGATTTGACTATTAGCCTGCGAAATGCATACTACTTTTTCATCAGTCATAATCCTATCCGATCTCTGCTTTTAATGACTATTACAGGAGTGAGCCATGGGGATGATACCGCCTACGTGTTAGGGACATTCTACGGCAATCCCGAGGAAACACCACAGGATAAGGCCATGACTCGCTTGATGTTGAACATGTGGCTGACTTTTGCTAAAACGGGGTAAGGCTAATTTATATTTACGCATTTAAGTTCCCAATATCGGCGAAAAAATTACAGAATAATGAAGCACGGAGAAGTTCTTCTTCTTTGATGTTATAAATAATACTTGAATATCGTCGTATTGGAGCGCCTAAAACTTCGTTGGACGCAACACGCGTTTCCTTGACTGTTTACTGCATTCACCCGGCGAACGGCGTTTTATTCCGCAGTATGAGGCCCTAGTCCGTTAAGACGAGTAGGACGCTTCGTCGGGAATTATGAGAACATCAACCGTCCAGTAAATGTCAGATAGCAACCCAAAAGGTAATATGGTGCTCCAAAAATTTTCGGCAAAATTTCGACCAACAAATAATTTCGTGAAAATCAAACAGCCCGTTGAAAATTTTAAAAAATCACGGAAAAAGAGATAGGGTTTGATATGATGGGCATTTCCAATTACTTGTGGTAGTACCCCAATAAATTTGGCTAATAACCCACATGTTGCGCTGCCACCCCAACTTGAGTTGTGGCACTACCACGATTAATTGGAAATGCCCGAATCATCTAAAAAATTGGGGTGGTATCACAATGTCAAAGGATAACCTCTAACAATTTTGTCTGTGATCATTTCAACGGGAAGGCTAGAATCTGACCGAAAATCTGACCGTGGTGATAGGTCAGTTTGATCGTGTGATATAGGCTTATGTTCGCAACAGACCCATTATGACCTAAGTTTATTTACACAAGGAAAATAGAAATTGCTGATTTAACATTTTTGTAGTTAAAAAAAGTGTCCGACATGTTTCAATGTAGATTTTACACTAAAAAATGCTACATTCACCGCCCCCGTGGTTAAATTATCTTTCCACTGATGTAAAATGTACATTTGAAACATGTTGGACATATTTTTTAGCATTTTAATTCTTAAATCAGCAATGCATTTTCTTCCGTGTATTTCAGTGGAGCGAGTCTCGTGGCCTGGGCTCTGTAGGGGCCAAGGGGTTCCAAATGTATTTTTGTGTGAGCTCACAAAACGTGCTTCATATAAAAACCTCTATTCTGTTTCAGCAAACCTGTGGTGAGCCATAATGTGCAGTGGGCACCAGTCAAACCCGAGGGTGACTTGGATTACTTGGAAATCAATTCTAGCGAGGATTTGGTGCCGAAAACAAGCTCTGATTTGGGCTATCGGCGGTTTTGGGATAGATTGCCCTTCAACGAGCCAGTTGAACCAGTTCCTATGAAAGATGAGCTCTAAAGATGTCCTCGGGGCTAATGTTGAAGATACCAGTGATTTTTTAAAAATAAAAATTCTTTAGATTTGACGCACCTAATTTTATTTCCTCCGTGGTGGTAGTCGTCCACGAGAAAAGGGACCTTTTTCCACAAAAAATCAAAATTATGTTTATAATACCAAAACATAAAAGGATGTTTTTAGAAAATGTCAAAAAAAAAAAATCGTGGTTGTGGTGCATTGAAGTTTAACGTCCAAGAAATGAAGTTTTGAGAAATAAAATATCTAAAACCTACTGTGCTCTGGACACGGAACAGTTGGTATATAATACTCTCCTCTATTCACCGGAAAAATGGTTTAGTGCTTATACTTATATAGGTAGATCAAAAGGATTACATTTAGCTTAAGGAGACCAAGACATTTAACATGCTTTCAAAATAGTGCAACTTCTCCTCTGCTCACAAAATATACGCATATGCACAGTAATACAATTTACAGGGTTGTTTATTTAAACATTAACAAGTTTTTTGTATAGAGAAACAAAAACTAGTTTCTATTTTCCGCATCTTTTGGGTACAGATGAAGATGCTTGATTTTAAAATTACACGTTACAATTAGACACGGTGGTTCTCTTCTGATAAATGCGATCCAAATGGTATGACTCAGATGTTGAGTAAGCACCCATCATCAATGCACTAGCTATGAAAGAAAGGTTATTGTCCACCCAAAATCTGGGTGGTGCCATTCTAAGACCCAGTCCTAAAGTTGTTTTATCCATGTTGACACAGAAACGGACTAAACCACTCACCCTTGATTATTTAGGACACCAAAATGAGTTTTACACCGAAATCTTAGAATCAGGTTTTTCGACCCAACTCGATAAAAATCGATCTCACTTGGATTTTGGATTAAGGTCCCTTCTTCTGCGGGCGGTCACATTTGCAAACAGCGTTCCAAAGAGTAATACTTCTCAGCACGACAAAGATAGGACCAATGAGAACCACGTTGCCATATGTGTGTAAAATATCTCTTTCTTGCCCTAAATCATGCAAAGAGGTTTGAATAAATTCAGCATAGATATGGTGCGGTGCGACGACGCAGCGTTAGGAGCGACTTTTGACGCCCATACGTTTTGCTGCGCACGCGCATCGCAGGCTTCGACGTGCATTGTTGCCAAGTAACATCTACAAATCTCCGTTATCCATGTCATAGGCTCACTAGAAACTTATATTTTGATTAAAATCTGCCAGCATCGAAACGTGCATCGCTGTCGGTTCTTTTGGTAAAATTGTCGCTCCTTAGATTAAACCTGGTAATTCTGTGCTGTTTTCCTACAAATTGACAACACTGATGTGCATCACTGCATCTGCGACAACTCGGCTCGCGAAATATATGCATGACCCAAATTCTAATTGGCTTTGCCAGCCGTGACTTGCAGTTGCCCCGCAACGGCCTTTTTTTTGCAAGTAATATTGTGGCCTTTGCAGGGCGTTACGCACTGTTACCTGTCGTAGCAATGCGTAACATTGACGCTGGGAAAATTAAAAAGAACGAGCACGAAATGCTTTTTAATCTAAAGCTTGGATGCAACTTTTCGAGCTTCGTGGATGTCCGGGTTGCATACGCACGGAAGTGAAGGCGTTTTGACTTTAAGGACAATTTTATCCTGCAATGCCCATAAAACGATTATATCGTATTCACCTCCGGCAAGCTTCTCTGCAAGAATCTAAAATAACGCAGTGCATTTGATTCTTCATTTCTACTGTAAAGACATATCCTAGGCACAGGGCCGGATTTATCTACTTGCCGCACATGGGCCACCTGTATTTTGCCACCCCCTTCTCATTCGTTTTGAAACATCAATAAAAACCATCAAGTGAACGTGCCTGCGGGGGAGGGGTGCATGAGATGCGTTTACTCATGTTGAACACATTTTTCGGGAAAGCCCTGTCAACACTACCAACGAAAGTTCACGGAACTTTGCGAGAAAGTTAAGTTTCGTAAACCTATCTCTGTGTGGACAAGACCTTCCATTCATGAGAAATGAACGAAAAAATTATAAAAGAACAAACATTTATGTGGTCTAATTATTTTAACTTCCGCCGCCGGTCGAAAAGGCCAGCGTGCATGAGGGCTATTTCAATTGTAATCTTCCGTCGCATTTCTAAGGCGCAATGATACAACTATTTGAACTCTCCGGAATGCATGAGGTATCAATCCGCATTTGAAGGCGTTTTCAAAACAGCCAAGTTCCGATACCCGGATTATAGTTTTGCATAGTTTACATTATTTTGTTATATTCCGTACCACTTGTTTATTTTTAATCCTCGTAAAAAAACCACCCATTTGCTAAATACAATTCTAGCTGGAGTGCACTTCAGCTATGCATTCACCACTGCAAAAATGTCAAAGGAAATCGACACGTCCAGCATGCATGGAGGCTATTTCCATTTAAATCTTCCGTCACATTCTTACGGCGCAATGATATAACTATTTGAACTCTCCAGAATGCGTGAGGTATCACGCCGCATTTGAAGGCGTTTTCAAAACAGCCAAGTTCCGATACCCGCATTCTCGTTTTGCATAGTTCATATTCACGTCCGCGCAGACCGCACCGTGTTTGGCGCAATGTGCGAAGTATATTCATCCAGTCTTGTAGGCGCTTTGAATTTCACGCCGACTGCTGCTGAACGCACTGTGTTTGACGCAATTCGTGAAGTATTCACGCAGTCTTGTAGGCGCTACGCGTTTCACGCTGACCGCCCTGTGTTTGGCGCAATGTCCGAAGTATTCAAGCATTCTTGGAGGCGCTATCCGTCTCACGCTGACCGCAATGACCGCACTGTGTTTGATGCAATGCGTGAAGTATTCGTGCAGTCTTGTAGGCGCTTTTATAAGTTACATGCCGATCACCGCGCCGAGGGCTTCTCCTTTTCATCTCAAATTCTTGTCATCATTTCTCTCTAATTCGCACAGTTCCAAGCCAAATTGCGTGTTTCGTTTCTCTCTTAACTCGACTAATTAAAGAAGCTGTCTCTTGTATCACTGAAAGACGACAAAATTAGAAATTACTATACTCACAGGAAATAAGGGATTTTGTCGCAATTCTCGTTTGTAATTTTTTTCCTTATCCGATTTTTTTTTATACCTTCATTTAAAAAAATTGCAGAATTTGCCGCCTCCTAGACTTGCCGCCATGGGCCGCAGCCCACGTGGCCACCCCCTTAATCTGGCCCTGCCTAGGCATGAATAGTTGCTCCACAAAATCATGCTCAGCATATCGCGATATCAATATTGATCCTAGACGGAACAGTATTGATACCCGTCTAATCCGGCTCAGTGTTCTTAAAGCAAAAAAGAATCCGACAAAAATGTACCCAAAAACGGTTTGCAAAGGGTGAATCTATGGCACGTGTAGACTTAAGATTGCGAAAAATCAAAATCTTGGCTGATGCTACTTTCGAGTCATGGCAATTTAAAATTTTCATAGTGAATGGAAGTTTTCTACTGATTTTGATCCGGTTTTTGTTTATTTACTTGAATCGGTGGTGCGATAAGTTCACGTTGATCGATTTACGTTTTTATTTTTCGTTCGAGTTATGTCGAACGAAAACATATTCTCTCGTTGCCTGCTGACTTCTATCATACTTTTTCTTACCTAAACAATTTGCCTTCTGCTGCGTCTGCAGCAATTGTTGTAACAAACATGTTGTGCGTGCTGATTTCAGCTTATTATAATTGAATCTCTAAAGGCGCTTTATTTGCGAAAGCAAATCGCCTTCAATTCCGTCTGCAGCAATTGTTGTTACGAATATGTTGTGCGTGCTGATTTCAGCACATTACATACTTGACTCTCTGAAGGCGTTTTATTTGCGCAAGTAGCGTACTCTGTTGGAAAACGGACGAAGTAGAGATTAAGCGATTCATTCAATCTCACTGTTGTTGTTCTCCAAAAGGGTGCTCTGCGTTCGCACATAAAACGCCTTCAGAGAGTCAAGTATGTAATGAGCTGAGATCATGCCGCACAACATGTTCGTAACAACAATTGCTGCAGACTTAGCTGCAGGTGAATTGAAAACGACCGTACAAAACACTTTGAAAACATTTTAGCTCTTTCATTATCATTGTCACCAATAGGGAGTTGTATTTTATGATCTCTTTATGAAGGATTCTCGAAAAAATTGTCACAATAAACTAGGTTTAAACGTAAAAGAAAACATACCGCGCAACAAATTTTCAGTCTTTCTGTCTCAAGTTTTTAAGACTGAAAAAGCGCCAACGCCACAATGGTCTTGAAGCAAAAAAAATAAAATAAAATAATGCCATAAAAATGTACCCAAAAACGGTTTACGTCGAGTGAATATATGATACATACAGGGTTTCCAGTGATTGAAAAGTTCACCATGGAAACTTTTACAACTTTGCTCTGACCTACATCTCAAAATGCTATTTCCATCTATGCATTTTAAACTTTGCTCCATGTTTCTTATCATGACGTGGATTTTCAATGATTTAGCAACGTGAAACACCCGAACTTTAACTTCAAATATCTCTGATAGTAGCAACAAGTCGCAAGATCTTTTTGGTAGAATTGAACTTGGACATCTGAGGATTAAGAAAATGTCAACCACCCGGAGCATTTTTCGTTTCAAGCTAGACATCTTCATTTGAAGTTGACTTCTTTCTCCCGTGTATTTCTAATGGAACAGTGATTCCGACCCGTTCCCTGGTAAAAATTGGTGATAGGAGCTGCGTTTCAAAATACCATAGGAGTTCTTATAGCCGACTGAAGAAGGCGATAGAAAATCATACAGCTGGCTGTAGAGAGTGGAAAAAAGCATACGGCCGGGCTACACGAAGCGATACAAAATTACACAGCCGGGCTATAGTTCCTGTCGCCGGGCTTTACACTTTATCGCTTGGCTGCATGTTGCTTTTTCGCCATCGGCTATAAAAGGCTATAAGAAATTGTGTAGAAATTCGTGTGCTTTGGAAATCATTAAGTTTGATACGGAACCACCTTGATATTTACAAAACACACATTATTTTCCTTTAAAACATATTTTTTTTTCATCACTTAAAATGAGAATAATCCGTACAGGACGTGCAAACATTTCAAAATCATGAGTTGAATAACGCTGACTCCGCCGGATCAAATATTATAGCCTAACACAAAGCGGAGCGGCGACGCACTGGCGCCTACAAACCTAACAGGGATACTTCACGCATTGCGCAACGCGTGAAGTATCCCTGTTAGGTTTGTAGGCGCCAATGCGCGTTTCGCGCTGGCTGCCGCGCCGCGCCGCAGCGTACTACGGCGCTTGAAGCAACTATTTCACACCAGAGGTATTGCACAGTATTATACGAAATTGAAGGCGCTCCAACATTTTAGGAATGGCAGGCATCCTTCAAAAGTACGGAGCTTTCCTCGCAAAATCAATCAAGATACTACGGCCCAAAAAGAGAGCGGTAGTCCAAAAACTCACCAAGTCCTAGCATCCGTAATTAGTAACGTTCAGCATACACTTTATCGCCATGCTGTTGCTTAATTGCCATCGGCTATAAAGGGCTATAAGAAATTGTGTTGCCGGCTATAGAAGCTATTGGAAATCTTACAGCCGGCTGTAGGTCTATGGTATTTTGGAACACAGATTCTACTGCCAATTTTTATCAGGGTTTCCCGCCCGCTCTCGACCGAAAATTTTGAAAATGAACCATCATTGTGTATTAAAAATATCTTCAAGATGACAAACTCCAAAAAAAATATTCAGATGTCGAGTTGTGAATCTTTTATTTTGTCCACAGAGGGCCGCACTGTGCGACGCGGCGATGAAGCCGCGTTCACACCTGCCAGCCGGAGCGACGGCGGGCGACTGAGCTGCGCGACTCGGGCCGGCTCTGGTCGCGGCGGCGCAGGCCGCAAGAGTGGTCGTTGCCTTTTTCGGAGCCGAGGAGTGGGTAGTGGGTGTCGGGTAGGTGCGACTCCGCGGAGCGAAGAGTTCAGCTGTTCAGTCAGTCGATGCCCGCGTCTCACGCCGTCAGCAACGCGTTCTCCGTTGGTCGTTCGCCGCGACAGATCGGAGTCGAATTCGTGTTACACGTAAATAAAACACAGCGCGCTTTGTATAGTGGATTTGTGCTTTAGTTCTGTGGATTTACGGATTCTTGACTTGTGCGCCTTTTGGATTACACGCTCGCTCGGTGCTCACGTTGCTCGTCGTTGCCGGTGAGTCATGAGTCATGTCAATATTTACAATTCGGCGGATCTCCTACGAAAGAACGTAACTCTAACGTGCTAAGGAAAAACGCCGTATGAGCCATCAGATATTGCCAAGTTTTCTTTGATGAAATATGAATTTATTGGAAAGTTATGAATATTTTTATTCCAATTTTTCAGACAATATTGTTCGCAGTTTTCTCCAAAATATGTGAAAAGTTGAAGGAAAAATACGCACAACTTCCTTTCAAAATAAATATTTTATCGGAGAAAATTTGGCAACTCTTGAAAGTTCATTCGACGTTTTTCCTCAGAACGGCAGAACTACACTTCAATGTTGCCAAATTTTCCCTTGCAAAGTGCGATTTTAGTCGTAGAATCTTGAGCATATCTGACTGAAAAGTTCACTGTTTTTTCATCCAATCTCATGTCAAAATCAGAGGAATTTTGGAGGAAAATTGCACAGGTACATTCTTGTAAAAACTCGCATTTTCTGGGTCAATTTTGCAACCTTGGAGTGGAGTTACGTCCCTTCGTCCGGAGAACGACGATTTAGATGGTTGAAATGCAAAAGCGCGTAACTTGTTTGCGGTTTTTCAAAATCTCTGCTCTTGTTTTCCTGTGTAAAGGAAGAACGAACCATTATCATTGCTTGTTTCCCAGCATAATCAACGTATGAAGTGGAAAAATCTGGGGGGTGTTCAAGTAATGATGTTAAGTATTTCTCAATTTGGAAAATAATTTATGGCAGGTTCAGCGCCACAAACCGAGTTCCGTTTTTCTGCAGTTCCGCCGTCGATTTGAAGATGAGTAGGTACGACTAGATTGCTGTCGTGCTAAGGAAAAACGCCGTATGAACATTCGAGGGTTGCCAAATTTCCTTCGATAAATTTGTATTTTTTAGGAAAGCTATGAATATTTTTCCTCGAAATTTGAAGAAACTTTAGGTGAAATTGCGCATAAAATTATATGAAAAATTGGAAAAAAAATATTGATAAATTTTCCCGAGAATTCTTGATTTACCAAGGAAAATTTGGCAACGCCTGAAGGTTCATACGGCGTTCTTCCTTAGAACGGCAGATTGGGGGTCTGAAGGAACTCCCGCCCCTTCCATTGGCCGGGAGTGCTGAGAACCCCCTTGATTATGGGATGGGAGTTGCGGGGAGCTTCCTCAGGAGAACAGTAGCATAATTGGACTGCATTTTGCAATTTGGAACTATAAATTCTGGCTCATCTAAAAAAACACTTATGTTCATAGGGAAACTAATGGCACATACGTTGTTTTTAAACTGGGCCGGATTTATAGTTCCTAATTGCAAAATGCAGTCCAATTGGTGATTGAATGGTAATCGACTTTTCTGCGTTAAAACTGAAACTGAATTTTTCAAAAATGAAAGAAGGCCACTCAATTTTTATGCCAGAATAGGTACCATGCAAAAGATTTAAAATCAAGTCGTTCTTACTGAACTTCAATCATGCAGAACAGATGAATTTGCAAAGAATTTTTGATCTACCTCATATTTGCCTACATGTTCGCGTCATGTAAGGGCTTGCCACCCCATAGAAGGACAGTTCCTGGCGTGGTAAGGCTCTATTAAACCTCTTGACTTAATTTCAGGCATCAAATAGGATCAACATTCGTTTGATTGTAGTTGCCTCAAATTTTGTAAGCGTGACATTAAAATCAAGGCAATTCGCAAAGCAGATTAGGAACCACGCGCACATTGTCGCTACTCTGATGTAAGGGCCCTATTAGCCATATAAATCCCTACTTTCCAGGGCTTAAGTGAAAAGCGAGATACGCCCTTATGGCAGAGGAGCGACGATTTGTGTGGATGACCAGAGTCACTTGTGACCCTCACAAGGTATAGACACAAATTCTGCCGTGCTAAAGAAAAACGCCGTATGAACCTTCAGGCATTTCCAAATTTCCTTTAATAAAACACGAATTTCCTAGTACATTTATGAATAATTTCCTTTCGATTATTCAGACAACGTTGTACGCAATTTCACCTAAAGTTTCTGAAAATTTTGGGGAAAGCATGCATAACTTTCCTCAAAAATGAACATTTTATCGAAAGAAATGTGGCAACTCGCGAATGTTCATACGTCGCTCTTCCTCAGTGAGGCAGAATTCAAGTCCATAGTAGTTCAACTCCTCTAATCAGAGACATAAACAGAAAATTTTTTGGGGACGGGGTGTACCTACGGTCAAAAAATATGGCCACGGCAGGTTCAGAGAGAAAAATGCCCGAAAATCACAAAAATGTCCTTGTTTTGTGAACATTTTCCAGTTATTTCTAGTGAGAATTTACTTTCATGGAAAAAAGATAAAATTCATACAGGAGCATTTGGGATGGGTGTGATTCATGTATGACGTCAAGAAGAAAATTGGAATTTTCGACCACCCTACTTTCATTGCGGAGCCGTGACGCACGTTGATACCACCTCTGAAAGGTACGTTACACCTCGCGAAATACTCCCCCTTCCCTTCTCCAGAATTTTTTTCGCGATATAACTGGGGCCTCCGAGAGAGTTGTGTGCGATCTGATAATTTGTTTCATGAAATGTCTCAGTAAAAGTACACATATTAAAAACCATCTACAATAAAGTAAAGATTACCAAAAATGGATGAGTTAATAAAAAGATACAATAATTTTACTTATCCGAGTAGTCAAGATCTTGTGGACACAAAACATTTATTTTAAACACATCAGCACACGTTTTATTATCTACATCAACGTATACACTTTCGATATAAATTAAATCAATTTATTTTTGCATACAAGAACTCGGAAACATGCACTTAAATAAAATTAATAATGTTTCCTTCAAAATAAAGCTCGATCTTTGTGATCGAATCATGTAATTATTACTTTATCCAACTGCTACTTTTTTTTGCACTTTTTATTTATCCATTTCTTCATTTCTCCCCCGGTGTACGATTAGGAAAGTTGTGTTAACACAAGAATAATCCCAGCATGTGCTCAAAATAACAGGAAATCCAGTGTGGGATTCAGTGATTTAGTGTTCACGACGGGATACGAACCCGGTCCTCCGCGTTGTCAATCGTGTTGTTAGCGTTTGCGCAAGAGCGCCACCACGTGGGCGAACATGCAACTGCGGTCCTGGCGGAGGACGGGCGCGGGGAGCGGGGCTAGGAATGAGGTTATGTAGCGCCAGCTTCGACCAACAAAACACGTCTGGGACTTTTTTTTCTATCGATCTATTTGCATACTTTTTGTCTTTATAAATCAGCCACTGCTCTCCAAGTGCTTATAAGGAGATGAGCGACTCGCACTTCGAGACCAGCCTCGCTCTGAAAGTTTTGTCTCTCTCACCGCGATTTTCCTGGCAACTAATTAACTTAACTAGCCCGAATATGAAGTGTAAATTGAAGCACTGTGCTATCCGCGAATCCTTTTTTAAAATTTACGTGGTGATTATTGTATTTACCGATGTTCCAAAATTTAGCCGTCTCGATATTTCATAACATAGGTCTGAAAGAAAATAATGATAATTAGAAAAGAGAAATTGGCGTATTTTTAGAGCTGAGTCCAAAAATAACCTTTGTTTGCCTCCAGCACCCACCGATTTACCAGGAAGTAAAGATTTTCTGTAAAAAATCGGGCTTTTTCGAGGGAAATTCGATTTTCTGGAATCTAAGTGTTCGGCAGAAAAAACCAAGTCATATTAGGATGCAGTGGCCAAAAATACATCCATCGCATGCCTAAAATATATTTTCCCTTCTGCTCCGTGCGACGTGGCTTTTCTAATTAAGTGTCATAATCCGCCCAAATACCACCATGTAAAACTGATCCAGTTGTTTTGCGTCTGAAAAGCCAGGGACATTTTTTAACGCGAATGTTTGATGTCACTTTTTACTTTTTGTCGTGGGCGGAACTAGGATATGCGTAACGTTCTAACGTTCCTCGTAACGGGAGGGGGTTTGAGGAGAGCGTCCCACCATATTGTTTTTACATGTTAAAGGATAGGGACCTACGTCACCAAAATGTCACAAGAGGATGGAAAGGGAGCCAACATTTGGAAATTTAGTGTTACTTACTGTATGAGCAATCCCCAAATACATTCTCCCCTAGATCTTCTCATGTTTTTTGCTGGTAAAACTGATAATGACCTCAGTTTTTACATCCCTCATAAATTTTCTGAAAAATCAAACTTCCCAAAAACTTTCAACGTATTCTGCGCGAAATTCATCAGGAAGACACGACTTTTGGAAGAGTGATTTTTACCCTGTCTTGTGTTCCATCGGGAAAAATCCGAATTTTCTGAAGAAAAAGAAGAGAAAAATCCGCGTGTTTACATGGACCCCTGCGAAGGTCGAGTTTGCTGAGAAAAAACACCGTAAGAACATTCGAATGTTGCCAAATTTCATTCAATAAAAAGTCTAATTTTGAAGAGAATTACGAATATTTTTTATTGCAATTTTCTGATAATTTGAATATTACCTGTGATAAAAATCTCTGAAAAATTCGCGGAAAAATATCCGCAATTTTCCCCGAAAATGCATAATATATCAACGGAAATTTGGCAACGTCTGAAGGCTTATACGGCGTTCTTCTTCAGCATCGCAGAGGTCGTAACCGAGACCGAGACGCTTACTCAACGGAGCGTTCTGTTTTCTTAGCCGCTCGAGCTCGCGCGCTTGGTATTTTTGCAAACCGAGCGCGAGACAAACACAATTATTAAGGTCAAGTTCGGTGGCTCGTGGCTCCGTTCTCGTCGTCTCCACCCGGCTGCATCCAGAGTTTTGAGCCACAATATATTTTAGAGACCCCATAACTTACCCGGCTTTGACGAGAGTAAAGCTTGAAGGTTTTTTCAAGAAAAAATAAAATAAAATAAAATTCGCCTGATGATGACTGATGGATGTCGGGGTGAGAAGTTTGCTAAGGCAAGTTTCTGTAAATTAAGTGCCAGGTTAAGATTGCTTAAACCAAAGAAAGGAGATCCTCCACAGTGTCCGAAACTTACAGGCGCCAACGCGC